CAGCCCTTAAAGCCGACCTCGATAAAACAACGCAGAGATGCGAAAAACAACCAGATGAATATGCACACCTCATGAATATGAACGCACCAGTACATGTAAGTGTCACGTGGCATAGTATCAGCGAGCTCTTTGTTACTCTAGCAGAAGCGGCAACGGACCCATCGAAATCATTCCCAAAGAGTGAGGAGGAAGCACCAGATAGAACAGGAGTCTGGATTGCTCTTGGCGCTACAGCTTGTGCGCTCGTGGCAGCGGGCATGATTTGGAGGAGGACGTGGTATGTTGGATAGAGAGATGGGGATCAGGATGGTGGGATCTTGAGGATTGAGATGTGAAAACTGCTCTTCTCTGGGTTGTACCTCTCGAATGAGAATCTTGGAAGGACAAAGATAATAGCTGCGATGCATGGCAGGGAAAATGTGTTAAAGTTAGTTACATGTAGCAAGCTCGCGAAAATAAATGATACCCAATCCAGTCCATTTTAACCGAGTCAAAGGCGTGAAAATATGTTGCGGGGAGGGATTCACCAAGGATTTTTCACTTAGAATACCTATCCTTCGCCGTACCAGTCACCCACTCCCCAATGTTGAAAGGAAAGCAAACAGTTGCCTTACATGGACATCGCTCTAGTAGAAATTTAAGAACACCAAGACAGTCATTCACACTAGTCACCGTCACATTCCCATTCATAATTCATTCTATGCTATTGTATGATTATCTTCATCTTACAAAAATGTATGTATTATGCATGCATGCAAGCTCATCTCTGGTATCTCTTCGCTCTTCTCCTTTTCACCACCATCTTCACCCACTTCAGTCGGAGCTTTTTAACTCTTAAGCTCTCTCACTCCCCCTCAATCTGACCGCCTGTCCATATTTCTGCAATTTGGTAATCAGCTGATCACCTTGCTTAACAACATCATTGTATTGCTTATTCTTGTCGTCGGGTCTGTTGGTTTCAATGATGCCCTTGCCGGTAACGCGGTCAATAGTGCATGGGATGCGGTCTGCAGCAATGAATTTTGCCAAGTCACTATTTAGAGATGTGATGTTAGTTGATTTCATTTATAAAGTCAAGTGAGACTAGTAAGGGAAAGTGGGGGGAAGAGAAGGTAGTAAAAGGAGGGTTGAAAACATACCGATCAAGGAAATCGACTGAAACACCGAAATCGTTGGCCATGCTCTCGAGACCTACGACTCGGTAACTTTGAAGGAGTTGTTGGTAGGCTCTCAAACGCATTTCTCTGACAAACCAACCACGGTGCTCATAGAGATAACGGTCTTGAGTAAGGAAGTTGACTTCGACAGCAGCGAGGGCTCCGAAGAATGAACGGTAGCTACCAGTGTATAGACTTGAAACGAGTTGAGCCAGAGGGGAGAAATCGAGTGCTGCCTCTGCTTCTTGAACATCTGTGCCTGTGCCTAGGGTGGTGAGGTTTACTGCGGTTTTAGTAGCGGTAGGAGTTGCTGATGTAATATCTTGCATCTCTTCATCAGCACCAGGACCGGCGGAGATAGCTCCTGACAATGCTAAAAGTTTATCTTCTCCATCTCCGAGAATGGCTTTAATTTCTGGGGCATCGACGACTTTAGATTTGAAGTCAACACGTTTGAGTGAGACTGAACCAGCGAGAACCGAGTATACGACGAGGGATGAGTATGAGCAGAGTTCGTAACTGGTGAAAGTGGAGAGACTGTCTAAGAGGAGTGGTGCGGCAAGGTTGTATGACCTGACAGTCAAAAGGTAGAGTCCGGTGTATGCCTTTAATCTGTTTCGACGATCCCAGTCTCCACCACTCTCTACCAAAGCCTTTGCGCGGTCAACGTGCTTCTTAACTAATAACTTGTCGCCGTAAAATAGTCCCATGCGAATAATTGCGAGGACGAGATCAATCTTAGTTCCCAAAACACCAGTCTTTTCGAATACTTCTTCGTACGCAGCGATAGCACGGTCCTATGAAATCTTTGCATTAATATCAATACGCACCCTCACAATAGATTTAAATACCTTGTCTCCAACTCTAGCCCAAAACTCTGCCCGCTTTCCTCTTGCAGCCTGTACTTCAGTATCTCCAGCCTTTTCGGCTGCCTCTTCCTCTTCCTTCTTGAACCCCTCCAACTCCTCTTCATTTTCCTTTGTTAATTTTTGATACAAAGCTTCATCCCACGGTAAATCGACCTTTGGTATTGAGTTTTTGCTCGCCACCAATCCAGCCGCACTTGGCTTTCTACCAACACTGCTCGATGTATTTGAAGAAGTAACTCCGGCATCATTCAAAATACCTTCCTGTGGGTGTGCCAAGTATCTGTAAAGAGGAGCCATCTTATGTTCGGCAATTGCATCTTGGAGGCTTTTCAAAGATGTTTGTTGGGTTGCTTTGGCAGCGGATGGGTTTGTGATGGTGAAGATGTGTTGGGCGATTGGGAGGAGAGGATACTTTGCGTATTGAGGATCGGAACCCATCTTGACAGATTTATTATGATATGAGATGAAGAACGAGTATGAAGGGGGAGGGGATCGATTTTGCGATTTAGATACGTTTTGGAAGAAGTGAAAGGTTGAGTTGTTGCTATGCGATTTGTATAATACCTATGAAGCTCTGAGCTACTTTTGGTATTCCAGGCACTAGTGTGACGCGAGGCCGGCAAGGCTAAATTCTGGCCGCCCTCCCGCCGTCATTTTTGGGGTTTACCTTTAAGCTTACCTACAATCTTTGTTCTCGACCTTTCTTTCTTCAATAAAATACAAATTTCGAACACAGGAGTACAACAATTTAGAAATCATTATTCTTAGTTTCAAGTCGAAACATCTTTCACACAATCTATCAAAACTTTACTTTTCTCAAAGCTGCTATTCAAGATGACTGGTGATGATAGTGGCCCCGAGGAACAACCTCAGCCTTTCAATGCTACAAAACTCGAAGCCGCAAAGAAACGCAAAAGATCAAGTTCGCCTACGAAAGGCGCAAAGCGTGTCGCAAGATCACCATCTCCTTCTGATGTCTACAAGAGTCGTAGGTCACCATCACCTGTTCGAAAACAAAAGCGTCCTGGTCAACGAGCACGAATTGGTGATTCCGAGCGCGAAGCAATCCGACAAAAACAAATTGAACGTGAAAGAGAAATAGAAGCAGCCGTAGCTGCTCAAGGAATTCACAATGCGGTTAGAGAACATTATAATGCGGTTCCACAACGAGGCAGAGAATGGCGTAAGACGGATAGCAAGATTAAGGGCTTGAGAAGCTTCAACAATTGGGTCAAGAGCACGATCATCCAGAAATTCTCACCAAATGAAGATTATACCCCAGGAGCGCAAGAACGTGGATCGCGTGGAGATTACCAATTTGCCGAAGGACCAGATCCAAGTCAAGAAAAGGGTCTGTTGGTTCTTGACATCGGTTGTGGTAAAGGTGGTGATTTAGGAAAATGGCAACAAGCACCTCAAAAAGTGGAATTGTATGTTGGATTGGATCCAGCGGATATCTCAATTGATCAAGCCAAGGAACGATATCGTGAAATGAAAAGTCGTGGCGGAGGACGAGGTGGCAGGGGTCGAGGTGGATACAATAGACAACCAGCTCGAATTTTCCACGGGGAATTCTTTGCTCAAGATTGCTTTGGAGAATCAATTGAACGGATTCCTATCATTCGAGATGTCGGTTTTGACAGTTCCGGAGGACCTGGAAGATTTGGCGGTGGTGGGTTCGACGTGGTTAGCATGATGTTTTGTTTACATTATGCATTCGAGAGCGAGGCAAAGGCTAGAACCATGTTAAAGAATGTCTCCGGCGCATTAAAGAAAGGTGGTAGGCTGATTGGATGCATCCCTAACTCCCACGTCATATCGGATAAAATCGAGAAGTTTCACACTGGAGTTGCTGCAAAAGCAAAAGCGTTAGAGAATGGCGATGGTGAGAAGGCTGAGGAGAAGGTTGAAGACAACGCTGAGGATGGAGAAATCGAAGAGGGCGAAGCTGAAGATACAGCTCATTGGGGGAATGAGGTTTACCAGGTCCGATTTCCAGGCAAGACTCCTACCGATGGTGTTTTTAAACCACCCTTTGGATGGAAGTACAACTTTTTTCTTCACGAAGCAGTCGAGGAAGTTCCGGAATATGTTGTACCATGGGAGGCTTTCCGTGCGATTGCGGAAGATTACAACCTCGAATTGCAGTATCAAAAGCCATTCAATCAAATCTGGGACACCGAAAAGGACGATGATGTCTTAGGCCCTCTGAGTGAGCGTATGAATGTCAGGGAAAGAGGCCACGGAAAGCTTCTTGTTAGTGATGAGGAAATGGAAGCTGCTAGCTTCTATGTGGGCTTTTGCTTTTACAAGGTTTAAGCTTCTGTACCTCGAAGGTTTCAGGTCTTGCGTTGATTAATACGGATACATCAGCGTGGAGTCGGTTGAACACCCCTTGGATCGACAGCATCGGGGTTTTGGAGCATCACTGGGATTTCGCGGGGACTTGTTTCATTCATTTAGTTGTGCTCATGTGCATGGGATTTGGGATGAAAAACACATTCAAATATGGGGCTGGGTCGATAGTAGATATCATGCAATGGTTTGCCAATGACAGACACATATTCAATGAATTTTTACGGGTTCCTTCTCCAAAATATCTGGGGTTGTATCCATGTACCATTCTGAGAATACAGAAAACATAAAGCCGCGTCCAACATTTCAACATCTTGACTACTGATATGCATGACAGCAGCAGTTATTCAACACCTTCTTCCACATTGTGTGATGGTACAGAACATAATCGGTCTATGCTGACATTTCGGACGTTGTTGCTTATTCCGAAAGGGTTTTCATTCGACAAACAGGAAGACTTGCATAATCTACCTGTATGATTATCTAGGTGTGATGCAGATTTGTATCTTGTATTTCGATATTTTGACATTTCGACATCTGAAATCGAGACATAAAGCTAGACCGACAGCTAGAAGTGCTTTCAACACCTAACCTTATCACAACATTTATTAGATATTCCCAACAAGCAGCAGATGTGGAGCACGGGTAGATCAATTATCATTCATTATCATTCATACTTATCAAAGCTCTTATCAGGGTCTCTTTTTGAACTCAACCTATTTTTTCAAACCCGTGTTTTCTTCAACACTTGTCGGTATTACATTCCCTCAAAGTCGTTCACTCTCACCTACCCCTTCATTACTGATCGCTTCTTTCCGATCGGATGACAATATCAATCTTTACTATCAGCTAAATAGAAAGCTACGCCGTTTTAACATATCACCACTTTATCGTCTTCTATATCTGGACGATATAGCCTATTGCTGACTTCGATTATCTCGCCCCCGTTCATTTGTTACTTTGGAAGTTTGAGTTCCCCAATTGGGCCGCACTTACCTCAAATATCTTATACGAATAAGAATAATACCTACACTACACATCAAAACACAACACTATGGCTTCTATCAACGCGTCATTGAGTACTGGCGCGAGGAGATGTATCGGCAGTAGACAATACATATCTACAAGCATATCTCAACGACAATATGGGACGAATGCATCTCGATTGTCCAGATCCATTGCTGCTGCAGGTAAGTTGTTTGTGTATGTTCATTGAGTACTCTTCGTCGTTCACATATATTTCTTTTTGAGTCAGAGAAAAAAAAGTTTCAAGACAGGGATGATTCCGAAAATCGGCTTTGATATTGGAGCTCTCACTTACCCTTACCCGGACGGCGTCATCCTCATCGTCCCTTCCTCCGGGATTGTGTGGGATGACTTTATCCAACCAATGGCAACCATCCAGAAATTGTGGGGGCAATTATCGTCCGTACCCCATTTTCCCCTCCCTCCCTTGATATTATCTGGAGGGAGGGGAGAAGAGAAGGGGAAGGGGAAGGGGAAGTGGATGAATAAATACCGTCCGACTATCATCATTGATCATGCGATGACTGATCTGATATGCTACGCCCTATTACACAACACTTGGTCTTTTCCTGTTCTTTTCTTTCTACATATTAATTTTCTTTCTTCATGATCTGTTGATTCCCTTTTCACGATTAATTCATGCCTCAAAAGAGCTTGTACAAGTGAACGTACATAAATTAAACCAGTTCTCTAATCTTCATCTACCTCATAATAGATTCTCTCCATTCCCGCTCACTACTACAATCGCGAACTAGAACCATGTCCACCACTACTACTCTCCGCAGTTTGAACGTCAACAACATCAACCCACACGTCAAAGAAGCCAAGTATGCTGTCCGTGGAGCCCTCGCTGTTAAATCAGAAGAATATAGAGCCAAGCTCGCAAAGGGCGATAAGGATCTCCCATTCGATACAGTCATAAGTGCCAATATTGGAAATCCGCAACAATTAGATCAACAACCTATTACTTTCTTTAGACAAGTCTTGAGTTTACTTGAGTACCCACCGTTATTGGAGAGGGAAGATGTATTGTTAAATGGGTTGGGCTACAAGAAGGATGTTATAGAGAGAGCAAGGTGGTTGTTGAAGGAAGTCGGAAGCGTGGGTGCTTATAGTGCTAGTGCTGGTGCGACGGGAATCAAAGACAGTGTGGCTAGATTTATTGAGAGTATGTTCTCTACCATGTTATGGTATTCGCATGGTTGGCATGACTAACCTCTTTCCAGATCGAGATGGATTCCCCGCAGATCCAAAGGATATCTACCTCTCCGCCGGTGCCTCCGCCGGAGTTAACACCCTCCTCCACATTATCTGTGCCGGTCCCAATACAGGTGTTCTAGTACCTATCCCGCAATATCCTTTGTATACCGCCTCCCTCTCCGTTCTCAACGCAAAATGCGTCCCCTACTACCTCGACGAAGCCCGCAACTGGGGTACAGACCTCCAGGCCATAAAGGATGCATATGCTGCTGCTGTCAAAGAAGGAACCGATGTCCGCGCCATCGTTATCATCAACCCCGGTAACCCAACTGGTGCAAGTCTCCCACCCCAAGATATCGAAGCAGTCATCAAATTCGCCGCCGAGAAGAAATTGGTTGTAATGGCAGATGAAGTATACCAGACCAACGTTTTCAAAGGAAAATTCCATTCTTTCAAGCAGATCCTCCGCGATCTCCAATCCAAAACTCCAGAAAAATACGACAATGTTGAACTCGCTTCTCTGCATAGTATTTCCAAAGGTATGGTTGGCGAATGCGGACATCGAGGTGGATATTTCGAACTGTGTGGGTTCGATCCAGAAGTCGTAGAACAGATATACAAATTCGTCAGCATCAGTTTATGCGCACCGGTCATCGGACAGTGTCTCGTCGAACTCATGGTAAACCCTCCAAAGCAAGGCGAACCATCCTACGAACTGTACAAACAAGAATACGATGGCATCTTTTCCGGACTCCAGAAGCGCGCAACGGCTCTCTATGAAGCATTTAAGCAAATGGAAGGTGTAGAATGTCCAGAACCTCAAGGAAGTATGTATTTGTTCCCAAGAATCCATATTCCAGAGAAGGCGGTAGAGGCTGCGAAGAAAGAGGGTATGGGCCCAGATGAATATTACTGTCATAAATTACTTGAGGCCACGGGTGTTTGCGTAGTACCTGGAAGTGGTTTCGGTCAAAGAGAAAACACACTGCACTTCAGGACGACATTTTTGGCACCGGGTACAGAATGGGTGGGCAGAATCACAAAGTTCCACGAGGAATTTATGGGAGAGTTCAGATAGAGGGATATTGCTAGAGTGGAGTGTGTAGAGCATGAGAGGGGGCGGACAATATGGAGTATGTAATGCAATTGCACAGATGGGAAAAGGGAGAACTTACTCGACTAAATCAATAGATGAATATCTAGCCGTAGAAGAGCTTTTCTTTTGAACAGAGTTTGAGATTATTGGCATTGTCAGAGGAAAAAGGAAAGGGGAAGAGGATGAGAATGACAGGAAAAAGAAGAAAAGAAACGAAATTATGAAATTAGATATCTGCTGTAAATAAGGATATAAAGATATAAAATATACAACAGCGTGCATCATATAGCGTAGCATACCTAGTATAGCATAGCTTATAAACCCATTACATCTGGATCAAATCTTGATGGAAAATATCTTTTATATCCACTTGCCTACATACCTACACACATACTTATTTATTACATATCTACTTACCTATATATCTAGGTACTGAATGAAATCTACAATAATAGGTAAGAAATATTCTACTCATATATATAATATTCATTTATTCATTTATACATCTATAGTTTCATAGATATATAGATATACATCTATATATCTATATATCTACATATTTATTTTTTCTCCATCTATTCCTCCCCCTCTCCCCATGACCCGTTTGCTCTAGAAGACATACCTACCAACCAACCAACCTTCTACTCATTTCTCCCGCTACAGTTAAAGTTATAGTTATAGTTATAGTTGTGATTCTACCTCATATCATACACGCATTGTATTGTATTATATTGTTTCGTATTGCATACAATTGAATCACTACCTACCTACCTAACCATAGATAATAGATAATAGATATCTAGGGAGAGGAATACATATCTTCTATTCTATTCTATTCACTTTCTAATAATCTCGCATCATCGCTTCACGTCTAGGTACGTATGTATGTACAATCGATCCACCCATCCACCGCCCAACATTAATCATTCATTCTACTCAAGGATCTTGTTTTCAAAAGCAGAAAAGAAAACTCCTCATCCAATCTAAGCTTTATTATCCAAGCCCTTAACACCCTCTAGCAAACCATCTGCCCACGCGGGCGTTGCGACTCCCGAGCCCTTCGCATTTTTCGTCAAGCCATTTCGAATCTTGAGGACGCTATCTACAATTACTGCGTCGATGCCTTCGTTTACTTGTTCCTATTGCTTTCATTAGTATATATATTCAGATGATAAGAAGCAAGTAACACATACCTGAACCTTAACGGGATCATTATTCAACACCCCATAACTAACACAAACCAATCCACTATCTTTCACCACCTTAACCAATCTAGGACTATTGCACAAAGGTTCCGCCGCACTAACCACACCTAGCAAGTTCCAACGACTAGCAAATCGAATTGCCTCTTGCAAACTACTAGCTCTGATATCTCCTACTGGACTTGTACCCGCATCTGTGAGGAAAAGAATTGGAATACTCGGTTGCTTAAATGACAACAATAGACAAATATCTGGATTGAACGAACTGAAGATGACCTTGCGCTTTTGTTTCATGTCGTAAACTTTTGCAAGAACAGTATCACAAAAACTATTAAGTTCGACAGCATAAGTGTCCATTTCTTGTTCTTCCGTTTCGTGAAGCATAGGATACTTCATCTCGACATTGAATCCGACATTTTGGGGAAGTTCTCGGAACATCTCTTCGAGGGTTGTGAATGGTGCTTGAATAAAGTTTCCACGGGTATTGCCTTTGTATCCCTTTTCTTTGAAATCGCGAGTGTGTTTCATTCTTTCTGCCATGTCATTTTCGAACTCTCCTTGGCCTAGTGATAACGATCTTTGACGATCCATACCTCTTTTGATGGCATGAACTCGTGGGGAATCTTTTGGAGGAGATGGAGGACGTGTTGAACGAGATGTCGTCTCATTTACATGAAGAAATTGCTCCAATGTTAAGGTATGAACTGGTGCATCAATACCGGTTTCGGAAACAAGAAAATCATGATAGATGACTGGAACGTGATCTTTTGTGAGCTGCACATCGAATTCGACGTAATTTGCTCCAAGATTGGCGGCTGCGATGAAAGACTGTAGAGTATTTTCACCGAGTTGGAGTGACTTATTTGCAGAAGTATTCTTGCCAAGACCTCTGTGGCCAATGACCATTGTTGAAGACAACTCTTTCCAATATGTTTGTTGCGCGGTGATTCCCATTTCTGGATGCGAGAATGGTGTAATGACAAGGAAGTTGAAGTTCACAGTTCCAATATCTTCCAGAGTGTCTTTGGAAATTATTGGTACAGTGACATCTCCTTGAAGATTCATGCGCTTCAGTCCAATCGTTGGCCTAATACTAGACAGAATTGCCATTCCTCTTCCAATCTTATGCTTTTCGCTACCAGCATATGTTGGTACGATATCGAAGTATAACTTGACATTGGAGGCGTCGAGAGTTGTGAATACAATAGGATCGGTAGAAATATTATCGTGAATAGGAAGATCAATGATCGTAGGTTCGCCTGTGGCCCCTTTTGCTGAAACCACAATTGACAGAGCAGTGTCAAGTTGAGTAGAATGAGCTTCCGAAATAGGAATATTCTCCAACTTGACAGCAGGAATATTCTTTCTCATATCCATTGAACCCAAGCTGACAAGAACCATACTTTCATTTGTAAGATATCGATGCCCAAAAGTCTTGACGGGCTCAGTGACTCGAGGAGAGTTTGTGCTCTGCGATCGGAATGTTTCGATCGAAGAATGATTGGGTGGGGATGAACTGCCACTGTCTGCAGACTTTTCACTCCCAGAATTACCTCTCTCCAATTCAACCTCTGCCAATCTCTCTGCAATATCCATATGACCCCTCAAAGCTGCGTGCTCTCTAGCTGTCCATCCTCCGGCATCAGCTTTAGATAGATCGGCGCCAGCTGATATCAATAGCTCCACAATACCAAGGTGGCCATCAACACAAGCAACATGTAATGGTGTCCATGAGTAGACCTTCTCAGTAAGTTCAAAATCGGCTTTTTGATCTACTGTTCCTTGGATAAGAATGTCCGCACACTCCTTATGACCAGTTCGTGCTGCGATGTGCAATGCAGTCTCATCATTCGAGTTTGCATCTTTCCAATTGATATCAACTCCGGCATCGACAAGTAGTCTAACAATTTTCTTGAAGTTAGACTTTGTAGCCAAAGCAAGAACTGCACTTGACTTCGCAATATCACGTCTCATAGCAGCTTTTTTGTCGCTGGTACCCTCCCAATTTTCACCGTCAAGAAGAGCTTTGGTCGTTAAAGCATGGCCACCAATCACACTAAGATGAAGGGGTGCCAAGCCATCATTATCTTGCCATTCCGGTGCATCGATTCCGTTTTCGACATTGAATTGGCCCCAAGTCTGCATAAACTTCATGACTAATTGACAAATGACAACAAAGCCGAATTCAGCAGCATAATGTAGCGGAAGACGGCCGTAAGAATCTTTGCCACTTAATGCTGATCTTTGATGGGGTTCCAAGTTACTCAACACAAAAGACAGAAGTTTGACGGACTCATCTTCTAGACTCAGAAGTGTTGATTCTTGAAGTTTTTTCGAATTTGGCCCTGGGCTAGGCGAAAGGGCCGGCGTGATGAATCTAACGCGATCTACATCCATGAAAGAAACGCTCTCTGGTTCCTTCTCTTGTGACTTTGCGGCAATCTTTGAACGGCTGATGGAAATAACCAGACGATGAATACAATTGCGGGCATTGATATCATCCGGTTCATCTAAGGAGTTTATCTTCTTCAAAAAGTAAAGAATTGCGTTCTTGGACTTGCAAGATATGGATCGTTGCAATAAGTTCAAAAACAGCTTTTGCATCGATCGATCACCGGCGTCAAAACCAGCCTCTGCAATGGCTTCCTTCAAGGTGGGAACATCATCAGCTCTAATTGCTTGATCGACCGTATCAACCAATCCACTGGGTAAATTGAGAATTGTTCTCGATGACACTCTCTTGATTGAGTGAGCGGAATGAACCGAAAGCGCGTCGTCGTTGATATTCTTCTCCCCCAAGACTGAAATCCAATCATTTGTCGTTTTCATAGCTTTGGATAGAGCAAAGTTTGCAGCAAAAGGCTTCAAATCGACCTTCGAAGCCATGTATCTCGCTTGGGTACAAACATTTGCGACCTTCTTATCCAATTTCTTGGTAATCTTGAGGAAACCTTTACGATTTACCTCACCAAACCACTGTAACTTTCTCAATTGAGATCTGAGCTCGAGAAGAGCACCCAATAGCTCTTCGACTTCATTGCGATCTAGCCCTTGTGTGGTATAAACTTTTGCATCGCTATATCGTTGTTGGAGGAGATTAAGTCTGCGGGAAGCATCATAGAATTTCTTGTTATAAAACGCGTCAACATCTTCGAGATTTCGATCGAGCGAGAAAAAGAATTCTGGGATCGGAATCAGTTAAGGAATGCAAACTATGTTGCGAATGACGTAATAGACGTACCTGCTAAATCAACACTTTTTCCATCCTTCGCCGCGTTTGCAGCAGCTTTGATAAGCTTCTTCAAGCCCTTGTAGTTGATGTATGAAGATGACCATTCCGGAACCTGAGAAGCAGGTAGACTAGAAGCATATGAGTACTGTGAATAACTTCCTATCAAGAGGAGAAAGGACTTACGTGCGTCCGAACTTCATGGTGTGAGAGTCTGAATTGTACGGAATCTGTATGTAGTTTTGTAATGATTTGCGCAAGATTTGTAGCACAAGCAGAAATAAAGGTAATGATTAAAGAAATCAAACCACCTGGGCTATCTCATAGAAATTGAAATGCAGCTCCGTTGATCAAACAATAGTTGCTCTATGTGATCCATTCAGTCGCTTTCTCGATTCCTTTATGAATATTCGGCGGACGGGGATCCGTAATAGAATTTAGCCGTAATGATGACCAAAATCGAGGGATATTCTGAGTCGATTCTCCTTTTCTGTAGTAATCAATTTCTTCGATTGTAAAATGCTCACTGTGGTCAAGGTGCAATGAATATATCCACGTTTTGTGAAATAGTTTTGGATTCGTCAGAATTCTGCCATTTGATAGCGGGGCGGTGTGGATAGCTTGAGTGGTGTTATCAAAAACGGTGTGTAGGAATAAGCTCGGATATTAATAGACTAGGTACCTAGGTAGGTACCAGAAGTCTCTCCCCCTTTATGGATCTTGAATGAGCACCTGGACAAAAGGTCTTGTGTTCTTTTCCTCCTCGGACTCGAGTAAAGAAAAGGGGTTTCACACGAATAAATTTTAGAAAAGAGAACAATTCAATCGAAGATTCAAGCCCTCAAGGGGTTTCTTTCATGTTTTAAATATTTCACATCGTCAGGATGCTCACGGCACATTAGTCCCACCTACGCATGCGGACTTCAATGAGAATCATCATTGGTTTATCGACCGGACTTTTAATTGATATACGGTAGGGTACTTTTCCCCATAATCCAGGGTAATGCCAAGGTAGCCAAGGGCTTGACCCTGCAGCAGACCATCTAGAGAGTTACAATGCTTTCTTTCCCGGTTGTGCATATGCATTTCTCTTCCTTTGGTGGCTTCCTGGGGCTGGATATGTTGTAGAACGGAGGACATCAAGACCATATGATTTATATAGAAATGTGTGCTGGCTACCGGGCTTACCGAAATCGTTGCGCATAGTTTAGTAATTTGGCATGCATGGAGTTATATCCAATTCAAGATTGATTCCCTGTATGAATCATTGAAAGTTTTTTAAAGAGTCTTACTCAAAAACTGGAGTAGGGGGGGTACTTGACTCGAATATCATTATTAACTTTTGTTCCGTGTACACCGCATCTATTTATAAACGCCACATGACAGCGGAAAGGTAGATCAAGGGACCAAAGTTTGTGGATCTAACAGATCTTTGTAAAACTTCTATCCATTAATCATTTACCAGTCCCGTGGAATTGGTCGTGAAGATCTGGTCGAGAAAAATACTTAACGACTTGTGATCAAACGCATAGACCGAATGAGATTCGAAAACGTCTAATTTGGAGTAAAAACCATTTTAGGGGTCTTACCCCGGACTATTTGAGAATGATAATGAAACATTCAAGGCTCACACCGACTAATTGAGTAGTACTGGCATAGGTTAGCTATGTCGGTTTCTTTTCCAATGCATGATCTGATATAGACCCGAGTGGTCAACTGCACATATTAAATTCGAGATACCGAGAAGTCGCCACATAATGCTCGACATCTGTAACGCATTGCATTAACATCAACATCACATAAAACGGCAATGCACACTGTACCTCAAGCAATGATTGCTGTAAGACTGCGATTTGCAGGCGATGAAAGCAAGTGGGGTATCTTATCATGGAGAGCTTTTGTAACAACGAATTAATGCCAACCACCTCTTCCTCTGCCCCTACCACCCCCTCTACCACCCCCTCGATGTCCACGTCCTCCTCCGAACCCTCCTCCACCACCTCTTCCTCTTCGGCCTCTTCCTCCTCCTCTACCGCCAAATCCTCCATCTCTTCGTTCTTCCACTGGTAGTGGTCCATTTTGCATTCTGATCTGCTTTTCCTCATCGGAAGCGTAGAATCTATTTTCCATCCCGAGGAGATCGCAAAATTCTTGCATTTGAGGGTTATTATATTCCACCGGGCCTTCGTTCACAATTTCGGGCATGCCCTCAAAGAAAGGTGGTGCTGTGATTACGAAGTTCTCGGGAATCTCTAGTTTATTTTGCTGAACAATGTGCTCATCGACCCATGCTTGCTCTTTTTCAATCAGAGTTCTATAATGATCCTCTCCCTTATCCTCGGGAAACTTGCTGGCTTTATCCCCTAGAATAAGACCGCTGTTGAAGGCTCGTGTAATAGCTAACCATTCAGGATCATACTCAAACTTTGGTTGAGCTCGCGGAGTAGATGTCGAAATCTTTTCCGAGCTATCATAGGGCCGTACCTCTAGGAGCTGTAGAAATTTACGACCTGGTAAACACTTATCTAGAGCAAGAAAGCGAACTGCTTTGTTTGTGATTTCGGGTGGTGTTGGCTGTCCTGGCTGTACCCTAGGCTCTCGATGAGCTGAAGGTGCTGGTTTTGAGAAAGCAGCTGGTAATTGGGCTCGGATATCAGATGGGACTGATGACGGGATAGATTCTTCTGTGGCTGTTGATGTTTGCTTGCTTTCAGTATTGACCGTTGTGGTAGCAACATGCTTTGGTGTATCCATAACTGATGGGCTATCATCATCATCCATATCAAGGTCAATCTCATCATCGTTATGTGGTACTATAGGCTGTTTCTCTGTTGCATCGTCGATGTCGACTAGGGGTGCGACCTCGGTAGTTTTGACTTCTTCCTTTGGTTCCTCCGCAGCGTTCGATTTTTGAGCGTCCTCGTAAGTTTTCACCGCAGAGTATTTACAGTGTAAATGCGCGGCAAACCAATAAGGCGGCCTAAGACGATCCATGACATAACTCGCGGCCAAATTCCCCAGTGATCCGTCATTAGATTCTCTCTCGAAATCTGGTTTCATATTCCACAACCTCTTCATATTTCCATGCTTCTCAACAGCTCTCGGCCAATCATGACTGATCCCAATATCAACCTGGGTTCCTACTTGTAGTAACTTTCTGATATCGTATTCGCGAACATGGTATATCGATTTGACATCATCCTGGTTGTATGGCAATCGTTCATAATGACTTTTGTTGTAATTGTAACCCTTCCAAATTCCACTCATACCAGCGATTCGCACTCCGCCTAATCGTACCACATTTGCAGCGCCCATATAGTAGATGTTCGGCGCAACCCATCCCCCATAATAAAGCTCCCATAAATGACTGCTAGCTTCATGATTGCCGCCAACGAAAATGGTGAGGTATGGGGCTTTCTTGAGTCCGCTATAATATGCGTGAAAATCGCCAATTTCTCGATATTTAACTGGGCATGACATTACTGTAAGATCATTTGCGTTTCTTACTGCCTGGAATAGTCAGCAGAAGAATTCGATTATGAATTACAAGGGATTCTGTCGTACCTGGAAGTCCCCTCCAATTATGAGGAGATCAACGCCATCCCAACCTCGAGCTTCGCAAGCTTTCTCTATTGAAGAATATATTGCATTGAGAGTGCCATGGCCCTATTGGAAGATTCAGCAGAATGGCAAAGTAGATTGATCAAAATGCCTTAGAACTTACGCATCCCTCTATAGCGACGCGCAAACCATTTACTTCTTGAACGGAGGCAGCCATTTTGGGCAGTCCTTTAGATGTCTTCTTGCTAGAATAATTACGAGTAATTATGTAGCTGTAGCTTCTCCCATCGCACAGACAAGGTGATTTTCGTATTCGCACAATATTTCGCAGACGATTACTGTTGAGAAATAATTTCATTACATCAGTTCGCTTGCTTGCTTTGGTCTAAGGTTATCTCTCAAGCGCAAACCGAAAATCATAATTTCTCATAATTTCTCTTCACACACAACGCGTCATAATTTCAAAAATCCGATTCCCCACAACACCTCACAAGAGACATGGCAGATTTAGAATTAGCGGCGCGTCTACGATATTTGAACGAGTCGGCACATTTCCTGGCAAAATCGGCACCTACGACATCAAAATATCTAGTGTCGCAATGCAATTCTCTTATGTTTGATCACGAAATTGAACAACCGGATTTGTCAAAACGAGGATCATGCAGTGCTTGCGGGACTATTATGATATTGGGATCCGAAGGCAAATTGGAAGTCAAGTCGCAAAGTTTTAAAAAGAAGCCGATTCGAAAAAGAGCAAAAGGAGCCTCTCGTGTGGAAAAGGCGATGATATATACATGTGGTTCTTGCACCAAGGTGACCAGACATCGCTTGGATCCAGCTCCTGTGGCATCTAGGTCTAAGAACGGTGCAGTTCAGCATGGAGCTGTCTCTAAACCCAACCACTTACCAGCGCAGAACTTGACAACTGCAAACACCATGGGTACACCTTCTACGAATGCAAGTAGCAAGAAAAGGGCCAAGAATCGCAAGCTCGGTGGTCTTGGAGCATTGCTAGCAAAGCAAAAAGCATCACAGACAAGCTCATCTGGGTTTGGTCTTGATTTGATGGACTTGATGAAGAAAAGTTGAACATTCCAAGGCGTCTCATGTTTTCCTTGAGATTGTGATCAAGATTCAATATGCGTAAATCAGATATGGGCGGAGAAATCGTCGCTGTGGGATATCCGTACTGTATACCCAACGCCATGGTACTGTCAACATAGACATTTCGATCTTCGGAGCCAGATATTCATCGCAGTTTTGAGTCTTGGCCATACAAACATGATTCGAATATATGCGGCATTGTGTGTATACTTATCCAAGGAACTATTAAGCTCTACCCGTCGGGGCAGATTTTTAGATTAACCATATGCTGCGACAATGTGTGGCTCCTTATGATGGACGTCAAGTTCTCGATTCAGTCACAGGATCCTATATATCAATAAGACGACGATAAAACACCAAACACAAAATCCTCATCACGATATAATAATTTTTCTCGGACCCCTTCATCAATGACAAACCAGACCTTCCACTGCTTTCTCGGACTTTCAGCCTGACGCTTGATGAGGTAACGCGCCCCGCTAAAATTTTACAACCGGGGTCAAATCTTATCAGACAAATCGAAAAATATAATTTCTCGACCCCTCATAAACAATTGCCCCTCCAATTTTTTTACAACCATCATTGTGCGTCATATTAAATTTACACAAAATTAATCAACAACAGAAATTCAGATATTATGGCCGATAAAAACCAAACCGAAACAAAGCCAGACGGTGCTGTCTTCGACGATTATTTTGAGAGCTTGGGCAAAAAGGCACAAAACCTTTCAGCCAACGACCAAAAAGATAGTGCCGCAACCAACAGCACATTGGAGTCGGATGAAGAACAGAGAGTAGTGGATGAAATCGAGTCATTATGTATGAACTGCCATGAAAATGTACGTTTTGCAGCCATCTCTATCAATAATATCTACTAATCCTCCACTCTTAGGGAATCACCCGATTACTCCTCACACGAATTCCTTACTTCCGCGAAATTATCCTCATGTCCTTTTTCTGTCCTCATTGCAACTTCAAAAACTCCGAGATCCAATCTGCTGGAGAGATTCAACAGAAAGGATCAAGATTTGAATTGCGCCTCACCACTCTCGAAGACTTCGCCAGACAAGTAGTAAAATCTGATACTTGTACTGTAAAATTCATCGAGTTGGATCTTGAAGTCCCAGAAGGGCGAGGACAGTTGACCAATGTAGAAGGCCTTTTGAGCATGATTCTTGATGATCTTGCTCTCAAACAGCCAGAAAGAAAGGAGCAAATCCCAGAAGTTTACGAAAAGATCGAAGATGTTATCACTAGAGGCCGAAAGATGCTTGCAGGCGAGGCCTTCCCCTTCAGATTATCTCTTGACGATCCAGCAGGAAATTCATGGATTGAACCAGACCAAAAGGATGGTGTAGGAAAGCTCGCCAAGGTTCAATACCCAAGAACCCCAGAACAAAATGAAGCTCTTGGTCTCAGTGGTGAACAAGCTACTGAAGCCACAACTGGAGGACAACCTACCGCGGCAAGTTTCGAAGACGATGATATTATCCCCAATGAAGTTTATTCTTTCCCAGCTACCTGTCCTGGATGCACAAGACATTGTGTCACACACATGAAGATGGTTGAAATCCCACATTTCAAACAAGTCGTCATTATGAGCACCGTATGTGAACATTGCGGATATCGTTCGAATGAGGTCAAGACTGGAGGTGAGGTTCCAGAGAAGGGTAAATGCATCACTCTTAAGGTAGAGAGTGCCGTAGACCTAGCCAGAGATATCCTCAAGTCAGAGTCATGCGCATTGGAATGCCCTGAACTCAAACTATCGGTTAACCCTGGAACTCTAGGAGGAAGATTCACCACCGTTGAAGGTTTACTTACACAAGTTCGAGATGATTTACATCAACAAATCTTCGATGTTGGTGATGCCGGAGAAGGTGGAGATGGCATGGAATCAGAATCTAAGAAGAACTGGAAGATATTCTTTGATGGTATTGACGAGGCCATCAAAGGCGAAAGAAAATTTACCATTATCCTCAGAGATCCGCTAGCTAGTAGTTACGTACAGAATCTGTATCTGCCAGATGACGATCCATCGATCAAGACTGAAGAATATGAGAGAACAGAGGAGGAGGAGGAAGATCTAGGTCTCTCTGACATGAAGACCGAAGGCTATGTAGATGAGGTTGGAGACGAGAAGAGGAGAGTGGAGGCTGAGAAAGCTGCGGCGGAAGAGAAGAAGGATTAAACATCTCAAGATGCTTATTCGAAACCAAAAACGTCTGATTTTTTAGAATAATGATATCCACCAATTACAAAGCCTGGCTTACACTATATTTCTGTTTTCTCGCCTGCGCGTAGGTATGGCAAGTGCCCTAATGTTTCAAAGATTTGCATGCTTATGGTGGTTAGTATTTTAACGTCATATTGTTTGAATTATGCATTGGAGACGAGTGCGTAATACAATTCTGTATCACAGTCTATTCCACACTCTGAGCACAAATCAATCGTTAGCCGCAGTCAAGATAGCATTTTGCCATGGGGACCCGCTTAAATCAGGTCTACCAATCAAGAAGTAGTGGAATGTCACTGGTACCAGGGAAAGCTTGGGCCAAGTCTAGACGAAATCCCCTACAAAGTCTGAGATATCTTTCTATGTACACCTACTACTTCTCAATTCCTCTTATCACTTAATAGAATCATTCTTTTCACATGAATCTATCTCTATACACACGAAACTTTCTACGGAAAACCATATTTGGAAGATCAACACTTCAAATGAGTCTCCTTACTCCTATCGCCCGGGAGTTTCGAACGTTAGCACAATGTCCACAACTTGCCATTGCTGAAGCAGAGGATGATATGGATATCAGAACTAAATATCGTCCTTTCTTACTGGATCCCGAAACGGAAGCTACAGATTGGATCTCCCAGTTGGAGTTAAACTCTGTAGTTACCCAAGTGGAAGAAAACTTGGCGAAGACTAGCTCTAGACTAAAAGTCTTAGTTCTCTATGGGAGTTTACGGCAACGGTATGCTTTCACTTGCCATGCTTCGCGTACGAAATACATCTAACAAGAGACCAAGATCCTACTCAAAGTTAATGGCTTTTGAAGCTTCCCGAATTCTCCACCGTCTCGGCTGCGATGTTCGAGTGTTCGACCCAAAAGATCTTCCCATTCGAGACTCAGTCAACGCCTCTCATCCCTCAGTCCAAGAACTCCGAGAACTTTCCCTCTGGTCCGATGGCCACATTTGGTGTTCCCCCGAACAACATGGAAATCTAACTGCTGTTTTCAAGAACCAAATTGACTGGATCCCACTTGCCACCGGCTCGGTTCGTCCAACCCAAGGTCGCACGTTATCGGTAATCCAAGTTAATGGCGGCTCTCAAAGTTTCAACGCAGTCAATAGTCTTAGGATTCTGGGGAGATGGATGAGAATGTTTACATGTCCTAATCAGAGTAGTTTGCCGATGGCGTGGAAACAATTTGAAGACGAGGGAGGCGATGGGAGTGGAAAGGCGAGATTACTGCCAAGTGGAAACAGAGAGAGGTTGGTCGATTGTATGGAGGAGTTTGTCAGGTATACGATTATTATAAGGCCTCACTTTGAGATTTTCGGGGATAGATTCAGTGAGAGAAAGGAGAGAGCAGAGAAGGAGAGGAAGAAAAATGAAGTTCCTGTAGATAAGATTTGAGGTTTAGATTTCGCTTCAGTACAGCAATTAGAGAATGAGCTTTGAGTTTTTCGTTGCGTCAATGTTTTTTATCGTCCTACTCTTTGCAAGCCAAGCCAAGCCCGTCACCATATCTCAGCTGCTGATGCCTCATGTTGATCTTAAATCGCTCCTCCCCGGCATCGCTTAGTTGTGCTTCTCCCACTTCAAGACCTCTCAATACCTTGAATTACACGTCATTTTCTACTCTACAATAATCAAACTCTCTATTGTCTCTTGAATCTATCTTATACACGAATGGCGAGCTCCAAATTTGAGAACCAATAATGGATGCACGGATTCGTGAGACGATGAGAAAGTTAGATTTGGTGATTGTCGGGATATCGATCATGTGATCTAAGAGGGCACTGTATTGCACTAGCGTATGTACTAGCGTATGCACTAGCGCTAGCATTTCTACTATATCAAGTACTAGTTTCCCATAGTTAATAATAATCAAGACGAATAATACAATCAATTATATTGATAAGAATGAAGTACTTTACACTTTAATCAATACCAAATTGATATTAACACTAATTAGTGATATTACAAATTAGAACCTTGGATTCTATTAGAAAGCACTAAATATTTAGAAGTAGTATTCAGGATTGGTAGAAATTCTGAAGAGATCATAAAGAAAGATATCATTGTACTGGGTATGGTGTACTTTCTCTTTTTGTTGTGCTAAAGAATATGCTCTGGATAATTGTATTAAGAAAATATATTCAAAAGAATCGATTGGTCAAGTGTGACGAATCGATTTTGTGTCTATTATGTATTCATCTTTGTACTGTATATTATACAAAATAAACCTTTATCTAAATACCTTTTATATATCTTTTTATACTTCTCATACCTATAATCTATCTATAACCTTCGAAATACCTATAACTGTTGGTTCAATAATGAGATCAGGAATACGGGAGACGTGGTTCCCACTATCATTAGTAGGCCCCTAAATGTCTGTATTGTATTCTGTCTAAAGAGCTAGCTAATGAGGGGAAGTAGTAGGCCTTATATAGGCACTACTGAAAGAGCTAGTCTCCTTCGCATTCGCCTAAATACCTTTGATACAGTAGCCATTATATTGAAGTCATTCTTTTGAAGTGAATTCCCTTGTTCACATACTCGGAATTCTCTTTTATGGCTTCAAATACAATGGCTAAAAAGAAATTCGTAAAATCATAAAATCCTTCATCTACTGGCTAAAGTCCCTGACCTCTTACCAGCAGAACCAATCCCTTCCTTTAATCCCGTTCCACTCACTTCATTGCCTTGATATCGATCTTATTCGTATTGATCAGATCAGCAAGAGCTTGACA